ATTAATTTTTAATTTAATTTGTGTAAATAATCAGCACAAAAAAATAAATAAATATATAATAAATATTTCGTGCACATTGAAGTTTGGTGTAACGTGATATCCCCGATTGAATTTTCAACACTGATAACCTCCCCTGATTTTTTTCTAAAAGAAGGAATAAGGTCTGAAAAATAAGCATAGTGGACATTCGAATGTTGCACCAATTTTTTATGCCGTGTAACGTAATTTTTAAAATAAGAAAACTGTGCGCTCAATTAAAATGGGGTATGCAGTGATGTGCAATTGGAACATTGGAACAAATTGGAACATTCCAATATTCCAATTGGAATGTTCCAATTCCAAAGCTATTGGAACTCCAATCTTCCAATACAGATTGTCCAATGAAATGGTTTCACGTGACATATATACATGAAGAAATTTTATTATTATATAAATCATGTTAATATGAAAAAAAATATATAAAACAACATTTAATTTTTACATATTCATATTATGAATCAAATATTCTGGGACACCAAGTGAAGAATTAAATATATCTTTAAGTTCCCATTTTGCTCTTGAATCAATTGCTGGATGTCTATAATTGCACAAAAGATCTCCATCTAAACTATCCAAATTATCTCTTAATTCTTCTTCTTCTTCAAAACGTGCCACTTCCTCTTCAATCAACATTTGTTCCCATTCATGAAGTTCTCTTTCCCATTGTTCTGCAGTTGTAATATCATTACTCCTATCTTCATCCATATCAACATCTTGTACATCTAATATTCCAATATTTGAAAGATCTGAATTATCACCAACATTTTGTGTAGAAACATTTGATTCAATAGGTCCTGCATTAGTGTCATAAAATTGTGCATCACTTTGTATCAATTTTTTTTTCTTCAATGAAAAATTAATAGAAGCATGTAGCTGACACATTGCCAATACCTTATCATTCTAAAAAAAATAGAAATAAATTATTAGTATTGATTATATTTAAAAAATCATGTTTAATGATAATCTTTGACATTTGTACTTACAGTTAATCGATTTCGACGATTTGTGTGCAAAAATCCCATTGATGACCACATCCTCTCAACAGATGCTGCATTAATGCATATTCCAAAAATTTTTAAGGCTACACTTGCTAATTCTTTATAATCACCTAGGATATATCTCCAATATTTATATAGCATAGTGGACATTCGTTTTATCACATGTGACAAAATCGATCATTGATCTTTTTTATGTTGTGAAACATATGAC